GGTAAGACAAGAAATAGGATCGGCTAGGAAAAACCTATCATAAACAAATGATTTATAAAATCGGCGAAGCAAACCCTAAATTAAGGGGAAAGCCACATTTGGAACTTAATTGGTGACAAAAGAAGTGGCAGTTATCTCTCTCAAATCAGCTAACTCGCAAGGGAGTACTGATAACATCAACTGTCACTTTGCTAACATCAACAAGCTACTCCCACCACTCCAAACAATAGAGTTGCCAGCGAGTTCGCCGCCCTCTATGAGTCATTTTTGATAGCTCGCTCACTGAGGCGTGCTGTCGCAGTCCCAATTTCCTAAGGATATCCACCTAATCCCCTGGATGACCCCAGGCCTATATCGCTAACCCCTATTCCGTGCAAAATACGTGGAAAGCATTAACCTCAAATTAGATCATCGCCAATTCGGAAACATCAAAGGAAGCTCTGTTGTCCACTACCTGGTTAACCTTGTCAACTGCAATACATCAAACGTAGACAACGACCTACATGACCATCGATAATTTTTGTTCCTGGTAATGGCAAATGAGGATATTCCGCACGCGAATATCTACAAATACGTGGTCATGACACTTGCACTCGCGTCTAAACCAGGGCAAGGCAACATCTTGTTACAGAACGCCTTTAACCAAGTGTCAGAATGGGCATCATCAAACAAAATGTTAATCAACACCATAGAAGAGAGGTGAGCAGAAATAAAATTTAAATTCAACAAATTACCCGACTGTAATAGTGCTTTAAAAATAGGTTATAAAAATAGGTTATTAAAACTAAAATCCTTCGGCGTATCCCAAGATGACCTACTCCGCATATGGACAACCTTCACTTGACCAATTTGTGAATATGCAGCACCACTCTGGCATTCGTCTATTACCAACTTTGAAAATAAAACTAGAAAGAAGAGAGGAGCATTGCGCAGCATAATTGGATCAAACTACACCTCCTACTGATGCGCCAAATCAGCTGCAAATCCCCTCCATAGAAGACCGGAGATATTTCGTTCAGAATATTCTTGCATCCACGAGACATGTAAACAACAAATTATGTGAACCAAAGTGTCATATATCCATATATTATATATGAGCTGTACCCTGTTATATTTGACACTTAAATGCCCACTTTGTAAACAGTTTTACCTCTGCAACTATAACTTTACTAAATAAACTCTTTATTATTATTATCATTATTATTATCATCAGCATTATCATTATTATTAATAGTAGTATTATTACTATTATTATTAGTAGTAGTAGTAGTAATAGTAGTAGTATTGTTATTATTATTATTGTCATTATTATGATGGTGATGATGATAATGATGATGATGATTATTATCATTATTATTATTGTTATTATTATTATTATTATTATTATTATTATTATTATTATTATTACTATTGTTATTATCACTCTTATTATTATTATCATTATTATTATTATTACTATTATTATTATTATCATTATTTTTATTATCATTATCATTACTATTATTATTATTATTATTACTATTATTATTATCATTATCATTATTATTATTATTATTATCATTACTATTATTATCATTATTATTATTGTTATTATTATTATTATTATCATTATTATTATTATTATTATCACAATTATTATTTACACACACACACACACACACACACACACACACACACACACACACACACACACACACACACACACACA